ACTTACAGGCTGGGCCTTACTGCCCCCCTGTGGCCACATCCAGATCCTGCAAGCCTCTGAGGGTCCCTCTGGCTTGCGCCAGGCCCCTGGGCAGTACAGTAGGACCAGGGCAGGCACTAGCTCCTCAGGTTAGGGTCCCCAAGAGTGCGTTGGACTCCAGCCCAGACAACTCCTCAGGCTGCCGCCTCCCTGCACCCTGAAGCTAGCAGTGGAGTTGTGGCACAGCACCCTTGTAGGAGCCACAAAGACCACCTGTGTCTGAAGAGGCAGGACTCCCTACCCTGTGCCTACACTTTGCTTTGAGGAATATGCATCTTAGTGGAAAGGCTAAGTGCCCTCCAGACAGAGCACATGGCCTTCAGCTAAGGCGCTCCTGACCCATGCAGACCGCTGAGGCGTGGGGGGCGGCAGGATGGAAGAGGGGTGCTCCTCTGCATGCATGCCTTTGACTAGACTAGCGGCTCTGCCCACGGCCCGTTCCTGCAGAGCCCTGTACTGGGAGACAGCCAGGAGGACCTGCAGGATCCCCTGATGGTCCCTTCAGAGGTGCTGCTTCCCCACATGGCCTGGGAGGACCCAGTGACCTGGCACGGCTGAGACAAGAAGCCCTGTGCACAGGACGTGCCTCTGAGGCCAGGATGGTGGCACTGTCCTGCCACCGTCGGCAGCACTGTAACACGGGTCAGTAGTGTTGGGCTCCATGATGTGAGAGCCAAGGGGTTAAGCATCCATAGCTCGGTGGATGCCAGCACTGCCACAGAGTGGACAGGGCAGCAGCAGCATCTGAACGGGCACATGCGATGGCAGGGACAGGCCGTCATCATCGGGCACAAACAGCCCATCCTGAGGACCTTTCTTGGTGGGTGGTTCTTTCCTTAGGGCCAGTGGCCGTGACGAGAGTGGGCCAATGAGACCGACACCTCTGAGCCAGCCTGGGTGGAGCAAAGGACATTATCAACAGCATGGAGCCAGGAATGGTGGCACATACCTATAATGCCAGCAGTTGGGAGCCTGAGGCAGGAGGATCCCTGCAAGTTGGAAGCCAGCCTGGGCTACATAGTGAGTTTGAGGCCAGCCTGAATTGCGTAGTGAGACTTTGTCTCAAAAAGCCAAAAAAATAGCCACCCATGGTGGTGCACACCTGTAATCCCAGCACTTGGGAGGCTGAGGCAGGAAGATCACTATGAGTTCAAGGCCAGCCTTAGAGCTAGACCTTGTCTCAAAAAAAAAAAAAAAAGTCAAAAAATAACCAAACAACAACAAAAAAAAAACAAAATAAACCCAGCAGCACACCTTGACCTGGTTTTTAGGACAGCCAGCCGTTTAGTGTTTAGGCTGGCCAGCAGCAGAGGTGACGCAGCAGGCATGAGCTTCCCGAGGCCCGTGCTGGTGGTAGCCCACCTGCAAGGCCGACTCTTGGTCCACCATGCCTACAACTTCCTCCAGAGCTGCAAGGACTTCCTGGTACATGCAGACTCCAGAGGCACAACTCTAAGTACCTGCTGAACATGCAGCATTTGCACCCCATCATCATGTCCAAGCCTACCACACCCTCATCTGGACCCAGAAGTATATCAGGAAATAAAAAGCCTGGCCTGGGTGGTACCAGGGCCTGGGAAGATTGAGGTGCATGTGGAGGGGACTGTCAGCCTGGTCCCTGGGCAGGCAGGCGCTGGCTGGTTGGGTCTGGATTGGCCCCCGAGGGAATGCATTCTGGAGCTCATCTCACAGCCAACTCAAAGGCAAAGTTCCCGGTCCTGGGAGGAGGAACTCTCAAGCAGCAATTGTCTGAAGAACTATGGATCCCAGAGAACTCCAGGATAAATCTAAAGAGTTGTATATCTCCAGCCAAACTCGACAGTGAAGGAAACCCAAGGAATACAACCTATTAGTTTTAGGAACTCTAAAAGGCCCCCAGGCATGTGTCATCTGGCATTACAAGAAAGCAAGTATTCTGAAGACAAACGGGTACTTAGCAGACAAGAGCACTTGTCCTTCAGCCCTAAAGTGCAGGAACAAACTGTGCTTTAAAGTCATGAATGTCCAAACTGTCAAATATGCCTCCCTATGTATCTAGTAGTGCATAATGGGAGGAACGCTCAACTTTACCCATTCTACACTTGATCTTAGTCAAAAGGCTGAGAAGCGCTGGGAAACCTCAAACTTTCAATAGTGTACACTATTCACAGCACTTTTTTCAAAGGGCTCAGCATTATCTAACAGAAAGGCAGGTTTCCCTTTCGTTAACTTAAACCTAATAAACCTCTATTTTATTTTAAAAATTTTTATTAGTACAGTTTGCAGTACATTTACATTTGTCTTGATATGTGCACATAACCTGTAATTCCTTTTTTTCATCCCCTTTACCTTCCCTTCTTCCCTGCTCCCTCCAGCTTTGATCCCCTTTCCATTTAAGAAAGATTTCCCTTGGCCGGCTGTGCTGACACCTGGCTGTAGTCCCAGCACTCAGGAGGCTGAGGCAGGACTGACATGAGTCCAAGTCCAGCCTGGACTACATAGTGAGTTCAAGGCCAGCATGAACAGCACAGCAAGACCCCGTCTCAAAACAAAATGAAACAAAACGTGGGTATGTACACATCATAATGTCTTTAATTCTCTTGCGAAAGATACCTACAGGGGTATAGCTGAGTTGAATGGCATTTCTAGTTTTAGTTTTTCTGAGGAATCTCCATACTGATTCCCATAGCTAAACCTCTATTTTTAATTCCTTCATGACTTAAATTTATGTTTAATTATGTGACATCTTTCAAAAGTACAAATCAGTATGGTTTTACTATATCTTTATTGTGATTATACTGAAAAAAGTTCAAGACAAAACATTCCAATGTTAATAAAAATACTAGTATCAAATGTCAGATTTAGTTTTTAAATAAATCTCAAGGTGCTGGATTGAAGGTGGCTCTGCAGTGTCTGCAACTTCTTCAAACCTGCTAAGCTAGATTCCAGATCTGTGTACCTAATCAGGTAGGTCAGTTCAGACACCATCAGATTCTGCCTACAAATACTCGCCTGTAAGTACAGTATCTAAACACAAATTTTGAAGTAATTCCCATTAACAGGTCAGTCGATGAGATGTAAATTACTTTTTTCCAGACTGAACTACTATCAGATACAACCAGTGATCATCTTCAACTTAACACAATCAGTTTTCCCAGGGGAAAGATTAAGGCTGAGTCAGCATACAGTATTTCTGCTGTAATCTGCAAGTCTTGTATCACCACCATCCCTGGGATGAATTTTATGTCAGGTGCTAAGACAGAAACTGTTTTCACTGAATTATACTATATTCTCAGGACTGACTCTAGCACAACTGGCTGTATGATGCAGATGCCACAGATATAAACAGTTAACAGGTCCAAAAAAAATCAAGTGACATGTCTTAACATTGATTTTAAGGAAACAAAATTCATTAAGAGGTACATGTTTAAATCTTTAAATATAGAATGATTGTGTACATGAGATCAACTGAAAGGATAACTTAGCAGCTCAGATAAAGTTCATGGAACCATACAAAGCCAGATATTAAATAAGAGACTAGGGAATTTCCATTTCTCCTTTAGCCACAGTATCCATGATTATATTTTATGAACCAAAAATCAGAACACATGGCTTGTATCAAAGTTTTCAGTACTATTTCTGGGTGTAAAAGGTGTCCTGAGTAATGTTTTTTTTTTTTTTTTTTCCAGTACTGAAGACTGAACCCAGGGCCTCATGTATGCTAGGTAAGCACTCTACCACTGAGCTGTATCCTCTGCCCTTCTCAACTGTCCAGGTTGGCCTCATGACCCTCCTGCCTCAGCCTCCCGAGTAGCTGAGATTACAGGAGGGTGCCACCAAATGAGCTTTTTAAAACTTCTCAGGCCAAATGCTTTGTAACCTCCAAGCATTTTAATGGTTTATGCCAAATTGCCAAAATATTTAAAATCTGGAATATCCTATGAAATCTAGCTAATAAGGTTATCAAAAATTGCAGCAGTGCCACAATTACTGAACTTTACAAGAAGGAATGATTTTTTTCTTCTCTTCATTATTTGCTTCAGAAAAGGGCAAAAGATAAAGGAAAGGAGATCAAACACCACTGCCTGAGGCCCCAGAGAAGTAAGGTTATTATCCAAGTAGAGGACAAAGGAATCACAGTGCTACTACAGTGACACCTGGGAGATCACTCAGGTGGATGAGTAATTTTTTAAATTTTTTTTTTTTGAGGATCTCACTATGTAATGCAGGCTGGCCTCAAACTGATGGTGAACCTCCTGCCTCAGCCTCCCAAGTGCTGGGATTACAGGTGTGCGCCCCTTGCCTGGCCTGAATGAGTTATTTTAACTACACAAAACAGTCCTGCAGCAGGCCTGTGCTGAAGGAATTCTCTTGTTGGAAAATGCTATTATGAGTCAGGAACATCTGCAAAGTAGGGAAGCAGGCTGCAAATGTGCAGGCACACACGCGTGCACATGAAGTTTCCCATTAGATCTTCCCAATCCCGCTTTACCCCTGTTTCAGCCAGGTCCTGGGGAGTGAGTGGTGGGTCCTTTTGTAGGAAATCACAGAAGGGTTCTGCCCCTCTTAAAAAATACCTTTCTTTGAACTGGGCATGGTGGCCCACAGCTATAAGCCCGACACTCCATGAGGCTGAGGCAAGAGGAGCCCTGTGACTACAAGGCCGGCCTGGGCTGTACAGTGAGTTCAAGGCCAGCTTGGACTACATAGGGAGACCCTGTCTCAACCCGTTACATGCTAAAACTCTTTGCTTAAAAACACTCATACAGCCAGTGATTAGCAATTAACATGTGAATAGTTACATACTGAGAAAAAAGAAGTACTAAGTTAAATTCCTCTAGTTATCAACAGTCATGGCCTACTGGGATTGGCAGCATTACAATAAAAGTCACTGTGTTTCCTCAAATTTTCTGAATGCTTAACAATTCAGTATTAATTAATTGCACTTAAAACAGATCCTTTTTTTCAATTAATCCATGAAATCTGTTCATTTTTTCTTCATTTATAAAAAAGAACAAGGTGAATTTATCATTTGTTCTGCAGCTATATGAATTTGGTAGAGTCCATGCAGACTTTCGCATCAGGTAGGAGCTGCAAACAGCTGCTTTCTGGAACAGATTAGACTTGGCCTTCCGACACTTCAGAGGTTGGACTTCAGGGGCTTCAGGTACTTGTGGTAAGATTCGTGGACCTGCAGGGAAGGGAGAGGAAATACTGGTAAGGGGCCTGCCATGTAAAACAGAATACTTGTGTTTTTGGAGACGGTTCTTGATCTACAGTCCAGACTTGCCTTGAATTTGCAATCCTTCTGCCTTAGCCTTCTGAGTGCTATGATTACAGGCTGAAGTTGTTTTTAATCAATCTGTTATGGTTTGGATCTCAAATGTCCCCCAAAGTCTCTAGTATTTAGAGGGTTACTAGATAGATCCTTGAGTGCTTATGATCAATGGATTCATCCTTAATGAGTTTACTAGCTGAATGTGCCGTTAGGAGGTGGGCCCTGGTTGGAAGAGGTGAATCACTGGGGTGTGAACTGGAAGGGTGTGTTACTCCCTGGCTCCTTTCTCTCTGCTTCCTGGCTGCAACTTGAGCATCTTTCCTCTGCCATGATACACTGCTACATGGTGACCAGCCATGAAACCCACTAAAAGTGAGCCAAAATAGATTCCACCTCCTTTTAATTGCAATTGTTGGGTAGTTTACACCAGTGATGGGAAAGTTGATTAGTACAGGGTCCTCTGCTGATGCCTGTAATCCCAGAACTTGGGAGGCTGAGGCAGGTGTGTGCATTTGCCACAGCCACTTAGTGAGAACCTGTCCCAAAAATAATTTTTAGCCAGGCATGGTGGTGCACGCCTGTAATCCTAGCACTTGGGAGGCTGAGGCAGGAGGACTATTGCAAGTTCAAGACCAGCCTGGGCTACACAGTGAGCTCAAGGCCAGCTTGAACTGCATAGCCAGACCCTGTCTCAAAGAGACAAAAACAAAAAAAACCCAAAAAATAATTTTCATTTTAAAAAAAGGGTTGGGGATGTAGCTCAACGAAAGTCTCTGAGCTGAATCCATAGTACCAAAAAGGAGGAAAGGAGAAAAAAGAAAAAAGAAAAAAGAAAAAAAAAAAACCAAGGAAACGAAAATCTTGCTTATTGTAGAATGATCCAGTTTCCTTCTGAACCTGTTGTGCAAATTAAGTGGCCAAAGAGCTTTTGGGGGCTTTTACAGAAGACTTGCTTTCTGGAGGCCTTTCCTATCTTGTATTTAAATGAAGAACTTCAGTGGGCTGGGTGTGGGTCAGTGGTAGCAGCTTCCCTAGGTTGTGTGGGACTCTGGACTGGATGCCCAGCAGTGCAAAAGAGTAAACGAAGACCTTCAGAAGGTAGAAACAGGCGGGAGTGGCGGCCCACACTTGTAATTCCAGCACTTGGGAGCCTGAGGAAGGAGGACTGCCGAGAGTTCGACGCCAGCCTGGGCTACAAAGTGAGCTCAAGGACAGCCTGACCTGCATAGTCAGACCCTGATTCAAAAACAAAACTAAACGGCCTCCCGCTTTGAAAAGACAGAAAGGGGCTGGGGATTTAGCTCAGTGGCAAAAGCGCCTGCCTGGCATGCGCAAGGTCGTGAGTTCGGTTCCCGGTACCGGAGAAAAACAAAACAAAACAAAACAAAAAAAAGAAAAGACAGAAAGACTGTTTTTTACCTCTGTTTTGTTCAATGGAGATTTCTTGGCCCACTCAAACAAGTTTTCATATACATTCCCATCATAACGGCCAAGGACAGAGCCAAGTGTCATATCCTTAAAGTCAAAGGCATCAACCAAAGCAACAGCATTGGGACGGATTACAGCGAGCAATTCCAATATACGCTGGTTTACTTGGGTAATCTGAGACCCCGTCATAATGTTTCCCTAAAAGAAACCAAAGTAAGTGAACAAAAATATGTATGTAGACAGGTATTAATACACATAAAACTATAAAGTAGTGGCAATTATTTTTCTTTAAAAAAGAATACTGACCTGAAGAAAATCTCCTGCCTTCTGACTAATTCCATACAGAGAATACAGGAGAAACAAATTCTTTAAGATGGCGTGGACGGCTTTGTCGGTTTTATCTTCAATTTTTAGGAGTTTATCAGCAAAGAGCTTAACTACTACATAGTGGCAATGTGCCTAGATAAAAAGAACAGCAGTGAGGAATCGTGACCAGGAAATAACAGGGGAAGGGCAGAAGGGGAGAGAACTACCACTGACCTCTGTTGCTCGAACAAGGTAAACGGAAGTTAGATTCCACGCTACTTCCTTGCTTTTCCTGTGACTTATTTCAGTCTGAAGGTTTTTAGCAGCAATGTCTACTAATCTGTTAAGAAGTGAGGGAAAAGTAGAGACATGAGGAAATGATCCACAGTAGCTACACCTGAGAATCTACCTGCCAGGCCTCAGCTCCTGCTCCTTTAGGCCCCAGAGCTGCTGCTTCTAGCACCGAGGGCAAACTCACCTGGCTGCACGAAGCTTGTATATTTCTGTCAGGCTTTCGGGGCTGTTGATGTCCACCACCGCTGGCCAGGCTGCCACCTGCTGTGGCTGGATGTGCTGACTGGGTAGGTCATTCAAGTAGGACACCAGGCCACATGCCAACTTCCCTGATTGTACTTGGTCATAGCTTTTCATCAGGAACCTAAAAATCACCAGGACACATCTTTCCATAACCCTCCTCTAAAATGAGGTAGGCCATATGACAGGTATGACATACTTGCTACTCTAACCACAAGACCAAATCAGTGAGTCAAGATGAAAGCAGAACTATGCTTTTCAGGGACAAACACATACCCACATAGTGAGGAAGCATAGCAACGGGACTCTGAGAAACCACAACTTCGGTTCTCACCTGGCTGTCTGTAGCATCATGACGGTGTTTTCACCCTCAAAAGTGCAGCATGGGGTGAAAGTGACATAAATATTTGGAATTCCACTGCAATGAGAATAGCCGTGCCCACCGCAAGCCAGCCGACACTCTTCGATACCAGTGTTTGCAGTCCAGGTGGTGAAAGCCTTAAGACCGGCGGTGAGGGCATGCAGCTGAGGGGACAAACAGAGGCTGTGAGGACAACTGTGGTGCTCCGTGCCCGAGCTCCTATGAGAAGGAACACATCCTCTTCCAACAGCGCTGGTCTTTCTCCCTGGCTGCTGCACACGACAGCTGTAGCAGCAGGCCCCTAACTGACCGAAATCGGCAACATACCCACACTCTCTGCTGTTTTACTTGGCAAACAGTCACCTCTTTTTATGTTCCTGACTGACAAATGATTAACATGTTTCAATAATTTTCTAAGACCCATAGAGTCAAAAATCCTGTCTTGCTGGGCATGGTGGCACACTCCTGTAATCCCAGCACTTGGGAGGCTGAGGCAGGAGGATCACCACAAGTTCGAGGCCAGCCCAGGATTCAAGGCCAGGCTGAACTGCATAGCAAGACCCTGTCTCAAAAAAACAAAATAAAACAAATCAAATCCAACCTTCACATCTGGTCCACTTTCAGTCAGAAAGCTCTAACAATATCTAATTCTTTTAAGGAAATCTTAGCATGTAGTTCCCTCTGGGCATTGTACATGCATGAAATAGAAAGGTGGTCCCAAGTACATGAGGCCACACACATACCTCAGGAAGTTCACTCAGGTCTCCTTGGCCAATGCTTTCATTAATCCGATGATAGGTGTCCTTCATATAGCTGCCTACAAAGTGGAAGGCATAGGCAGTAGCCAGGAATGGAAAGAGCTTATACTGCTGAGTTTGAAAATCCAAAACCTGCGGTTCTGGTTCACTAAATCATATAGAAAAAGAAACAATAGTAAGTAAATGCTTTTACAAAACTTGTTATGTGCCAAGTTCTACTCTAAGCCCTTTGAAATATTAACTTAATCAATCCTCATAAAGACCCTGTTAGATAGCTACCATTACTACCATCATTTTATAGCTGGGGAGACTAAGAGGATAAGCATACAGTTAAACTGAGTATGGTGTTGCACACCTGTAACCCCAGCACTTGGGAGGCTGTGGCAGGAGGATTGCAGAGTTTGAGGCCAGCCTGGACTACATAGTGAGTTCAAGGCCAGCCTGAACTACATAGTAAGACCATGTCTAAAACAAACAGCCAAACAAAAACTGAAAATACAAAAAAACTTCCCCCAAATAAAGCATTTTAACCTTAGAAGAACACTATGGTACAACAGCACAGCACGCACATGGCTGAGTAAAAATGGACTTTGACACAAGCTCAGAAGACCCAATGTATAATTGTGTGTGCAGAAGGAACTGAAGATTGCACACAGAGCCTCTATACTGAGCCACACCCCGAGGCCTTCATTATTTTGATAGAGGATCTCACCAAGTCATTAAGTTGCCCAGGCTGGGCCTGAACTTGGGATCCTCCTGCCTCTGCATTCCAGAGTGCTAGGATTACAGGTGGGTGTCACCACACCTGGCTCACAGTGCTACTTTTTTTTCTGAGACAGAGGTCTCACTCTGTAGTCCAGGCTGGCCTTGCACTTGCAGTGATCCTCCTGCCTAAGCACCCATGTGTTGGGATTATGAGTGTGTGCCACCATGTCCAGCTAATGCTGAATATTTTAAAGAGTTAAGAATTAACAAACCAGGTGTGGTGGCACACACTTGTAATCCCAGCACTTGCGAGGCCCAGCACTTGGGAGGCTGAGGCAGAATTACTATGAATTTGAGGCCGCCTCGGCTACAAAGTGAGTTTCACTGTACAGTGAAACCTTGTCTCAAAAAAAAAAAAAGACGAAAACATAAAAAGAATTAACAAAAGTTTGCTTTTAACTTTTCTGCTGTGCTGATGATCAAACCCAGAGCGTCCCACGTTACGCAAGCACTCAACCACCAAGCTACAATTCCAGCTGTGGTTTCTCTATTCTTTAAGGGAATCAAGTTTAGTAGTAATTATTTGGGGGGGGAAGGTGACACTGGAAAATTGAATGCAGGGTCTTCACACTGAGCTATATCCCCAGCTCCTCCTTTTATGTTTTAATTTTGAAGCAGTGTCTCACTAAATCACTAAATTGCCTAGGCTGGGCTTAAATTTTTGATCCTCCTGCCTTAGCCTCCCAGAGTGCTGGGATTACAATATAGGCATGAGCCCCTGTGCCCAGCTCTTAGATTTTTTTTTTTCGTCTTTTTGAGACGGGGTCTTGCTACGCAGTCCAGGCTGGCCTTGAGCTCACACTGTAGCCCGGCTGCTCTTGAACTCTCGGCAATCCTCTTGCCTCAGCCAAGTGCTGGGGTTACAGGCGTGCAGCACCATGCCCGGCTGTAGCTCAGTGGTATTGCGCTTACCTGACAGGCCTGAGGAGGGGATGAAGTTGTTATTCCCATCTTTCCTCATAAATAAAGGAGGCCTAGATACTAAGCAGCCGCCCCTGCAGTAGCACACAAGCTGATTTTGCATAGCAATGCATCTTCTCCACCCATGTTTGAGAATATGGGTATGTGAATGACATCAGTGCCAGTCTCCAGTATGAGCCCGCCTCAGCCCCTACGCTCACCCTGGCTTGATTTCAGACTGGTGCCTCACAGCGCTGTATCGGATGGCAATGGTGCACGCCTTGGACAGAGACTGAGCTGCTGCTCCCACGAGGTAGGACCTCACGAACACCATGGTCCCATAGGTCAGCTTGTTACTCACAGGTTTCACGTACGTGCCATCAGGCTTCACCTGGAAGAACAACATGGCACTGTGTTTCCTGGCATGAGCAAAGTGGCAGTTTAACAGTTCTCCAAAGTGTGGACCCTGGAATGGCAGCATTAGCATGACACAGCCAGTGATATACTGAATCTCAGTCCCTACTCTGACCTAGTGAGTCAGAAACTCCAGGGTAAAGCCTAGCAATCTGCTTTTCACTGACCACCCCACCTCCCAACAGTAAAAGCTTGAGAACCCGAGTGGAGCCAGGTCATGTTTTTCACCCTGACAACTGGTATTTTTATTTTACTATGCCAATAAAAGCAGCCCCAGAAGTAAAAACACGGTCACCGAAAAGCACACACTGTTCCAGCCCCATGGCTATGCTAACTAGTGCAACGCCACGCCAGGCATGCTGCTCCTGTTCCCTATCTAAATGTACCTGGGCATACTTCATCAGCATGTTTTCTCTGGGAATACGATAGTTGTCCATCTTCAGGTAGCCATTATCCATCTCTTCATAACCAAATTTAGGACCAATGTCTCCTACAGTAATACCTACCACAGACAATAAAGACGTGAGATATTTATGCTCTTGAATTCCTGGCCTTTACTCCTCCTATTGAGTATAGCACTTTATCATTTTTGTAGAGAAAATGCTCAGTTTAATTTTTACCAAACCATCAGATGACAATCCTTACCTGGAAAGGGTTTGTGGGTCCCCATTTCACGAAGAGGTACAACGAAAGCATGTAATCCATAGCATGTCCCCTGTGTAATGAGCTGGGCAAGAACTATTGCGTGATTTGAAGTTTTCCCAACTGCAACATCAAAGGCAACAGGATAAAGAGGTGAGTGGATGTTCTTACATTTTTAACAGGTGGAAATAGAAGAGTGGACAAAAGCATGTTGCTAGAGCAATGCAGTGTGTTGGGAAAGACTGCTATGACAGTCTGACTCTAGCTCCTAGAAACAAGTCACTTAAGCACATAGTTATTAAAATTTATTGAATTTTGGCAAAGCTATTTTTAAAAACATAGCTGTAGGGCTGGGGATATAGCTCAGCGGCACAAGTGCCTGCCTGGCAAGCATAAGGTCCTGAGTTCGATTCCCAGTACCAAAAAGAAAAAATTATCAAGAGGTTTTTTGGGCCCGGCATGGTGGCGCATGCCTGTAATCCCAGTACTTGCGAGGCTGAGGTAGGAGGATTGTTGCGTGTTCAAGACCAGCCTGAACTGCATAGCAAGACCCTGTCTCAAGGAGACAAACAAAAAAACAAAAAAAACCCCAACAAAATAAAAACATAGCTGTAGTAATTGTTCTAGCACTTATATGAAGAAAAATTTGGGGTAATGATAAGAACACTAATTTAGGAAGCTGGGCATGGTGGCAAAAAAATGTAATTCCAGCACCTGGAAGGTTGAGGCAGGAAGATTGATGCTTAAGGCCAGCCTGAACTACACAGTGAGATTCTGTCTCAAAAAAACCAAAACCAAAACCAGCAACAAAAATATCTCACTGATTTTTATTTATTCATTTATTTACTTATTTTTGTCTTTTTGAGACAGGGTCTTGCTGTGCAGTTCAGGTTAGCCTTGAGCTCACTTTGTAGCCCAGGCAGGTCTTGAACTCAGTGATCCTCCTGCCTCAGCCTCCCAAGTGCTGGGATTACAGGCGTGTGCCACCACGCAGGCTCACTAAATTGCTATCTTTTTGTCCCTTAAGGCAGTGCTGTCCAAAACCACAGCCAATACCCACATGTGGGCTTTAGATTTAAATTCTGACTAAACACTGTAAATGGTTCAGTTTTCCAGTCAACTAGCAGTATTTCACTTACCCAACAGGTACACTGAATAGTGTCTACCACACAGTAAAACAAAAACAGAAAAATATTTGCACCATTGCAGAAAGGTCTTCAGGACAGAGTGGCTCTCTGGTTAGTATATCCAAAATTATTTACCTTTTTTTACATGCCAGTTTTTTCTTACCAAAATGTCATGTGGCTTAATAAAACATAAATAAGATCATTTAAATACTAACTCTATCTGAAATATATATCCTATGATAATAATCTGATGAAAGAAGATCCCAAATTTTCATGTCAGAGCTATTTATAATAAAAATTTTAAAACAATGCAAATATTTGGCAAGATGGAAATGACAAAGAGGGAATACTGTTATTTTAAATGAGGCCTGTGGAAGTGACGGTAATACGTGGGAATATCTGATGCAAATCTGAGTGGGAATATCTGATGAAAATCTGAGAAAAGCAGCATAAGCTAGCCACCATTTCTAAGCTCTGTAAGATGTATAAATATATACATACATACATATATATATATGTAATGTGTATCACAAGAGGTGAAACAGTTTAAAACAGTTTAAGACCTCAGTATTTCTATTTCAAAATGATATATTCTACATGTAAATACAATCACCTATTTGTGAAAGATCTAACACCAACAAAGGTTAAAAAATCCACTTACGTCCACCAGGCCACCACTTAATGGATGTCACCGTAGGACTGTTCATAATGAACTCTTGGGTTTTGGGGTCATATGTGGCAGTGGTTTCCAAGCCTCGAAGATGAGTTCCTAGGGAAAGAAACTACCTTTACCTCAGGTAAACCGTGGAGAAAAAATACATGCAAAGTAAAAATGGCCTGCCTAGTCCTTTAAGCTCTAGTACCTCAGAGAAAAACAAAATCTAACAATATATTGTATATGAGCTATAAATGGCTGGCAACCAAGATACTTAATTTTCTATAGTATCAAATAGTTTCCCATTAGGTTGAAAGCATGTGTCATATACATTCTATTCCTATATTTGATTTGCAGATTTATTTAGATCAAAAGAAAATATTAAGATAGCCTAGAATTGTATTTTCCTAAAATCACAATACATTAATCCAACAGGGAAGTTTACTGTCCCTTTATGTTCAGATTATTTCTGAATTTCAAGTGTGTCAATTTCAACTCACCTGAACTATATTTACCACATCAACTCAATACCATACGGTTCTATAAAACTGAGAATAAGATAATATACAGGAAGAGACTTTGTTTTTTTGAGACCGGGTCTTGCTATGCAGTTCAGGCTGGCCTTAAGCTCACTTTGGAGCCCAGGCTCGCCTCAAACTCACAACGATCCTCCTGCCTCAGCCTCCCGAGTACTGGGATTACAGGCGTGCGCCACCACGCCCGGCTAGAAAGAGATTTTAATTAAAACTTCTGTAAATGAGAATTTACTTCAGAATGACTGCTAGAAAGGAAGACCAGAACTTATCAAGGTATATTTGTTATAAAAGACCTAGAAAAGTAACTTTTTATAATCTGTGGAGAGTTCACTCCACAGTTTGCTTGCTTGCTTCCTTCCTTCCTTTCCTTTCTGTACCAGGAATTGAACTCAGGGCCTTGTATTTGCCAGGCAGGCACTGTGCCACTGAGCTACATCCCTGGCCCACCCCACAGATGACTAACACCAGGCCCCAATTTAGTCCTACCTAGCTCATGAACGTGAGGAGGGACACTTACCGGCTTCATCATGTGTTCACTGGAGATGGGGAGGGGGCTTGTTTTACATCCTTATATCAATATGCCCAAATCCTTTGGGATTAAAGAGAAGTGCTCTTCGTGCTAGCTGCTCTCTAATAATTTTATACTGATGACCTTTTATCAAACTACTTGGATAAACGCTAGGCTAGACCTCAATGAACACTTAAAAGCTTTTGAAACTTTAGAAACTTCTAAGTTGAGTGACAGAAATGGCCAGTGTACATGTAGTCTACAGTTTTCCCGAGTAGTAAAAGCTAGACACTTAGATTCCTTTCACCAAAGAAGCTTTTACAGAAAAAGGTAAGACATTCAACAGGATTAAGGTAAAGTGTTTTCAAATGCATAACTGAACTGATTAGTATTCCACTTTGAGTCTTGTGAAAATCCTGTAAGACACCACTCAGCATGGAGTGAGAAGCAGTGTATGGAATTAAAGAGTAAGTGGCAAAACAAATGTACGCTAGATTTTCCAAAACCTCAAGAGAAGAAAAAAGGGAGGTAAAAGTAATGAACAGCAAACAGCAAGACACCAACTTGCGAAGTGATGACTAAAAGCAATAGTTACCAAGCTCCGATGTTTGTAGACTCATGAAGACAGGCAGATAGTAAGTGGCAGGAAAAATGGAAGGTGTTAGATATACAGACTTTGAAGCCAACTGCCTGAAAGTATGGCTTGTCTTAAGTTTTCTAACCTCTGGCCAAGCCACCTTCAGAACTTTCCTGGGGGCTTGGGTATAGCTTAATAGTAGAGTGCTTGCCTAGCATGCGCGATGCTCTAGGTTTGATGCCCAGCACCTTGATAAAAAATTTAAAAATACGACACTTTGGTGAATTTACTCAATCAAGATGCAAACAGGCACAAGATTAGTTGCACGTTTTGATTATAATATGCTACTTGTTGCCTTAAGCAAGTCAGAGTATCAAGAGTAATCAGGAATAAAGAAAATAGATGGGTTCCATGCTATGTGTACTGGTGCTATACAACTCGAGTGAACACAAAACTCATTTGGTACACATGGCCTGACTTACCATTCTTGATCTTCTGAGGGAAAACCATGAAAAAAATAATCAGCAAATCATTGTGATAACACAACCCTTGACTTCCAGTGACTGAATTAGTATCTATGCTGCCAGCTCATCCGAACACACAGTATGCTGATGTGCCCACTTGCACAGGGTGAACACTCCATGCTTGCCCAGCTGGCAGGGAGGGGCCCGCCCCACCTAGAAGGTAGACTGAATGCACTGTACCATGACCCATCTCTGTCTGGGCATAAGTGCCAGTGATCTCCAAATTCCAGGCGGGCATGAAGAAGCGCTCTTGCTGCTCTGCGGTGGCCTGGTGAAGCAAGGTGGGCAGGAACATGCCCAAGTGAAGATCCAAAGGCTCAGGCCGCCCTCGGTGTGCAAAACTTCGAAGAAATATCAAGGACGAGGATGTGAGAGAAGCATCATCAGGTGTGAGAAAATCAGCAATTTGAGAAGATAGAGTAAAGGGAAGGAGAAAAAAAAACCTGTAAGTATGAGTTAGTCATGTGAACTTCATCATGGATGGAGCACTGTCCCTTTCTGTATCACTTTATAACTCTGCAATTTCCAGGGGAACTTGGCAAAAGGAGAGCAGGGACCAGCTGCCGATTCCAAAGCCGATGCAGCTGAAGACTGCTTGAGTAGGTAGGACTTTAGCCTGGCAATTAAATGAAAGGAAGTGGAAAATTCAAAAAAGTTGTATGCAAGAGGATTTAAGTGGACTAAGGGGTTATAGGAAGGAGGCTGGAAAACATCTCTCTCAGGATGACAATATGATCCTTCAGACTAAGGTTTATCCTAGATGCAATTCTGCAATGCTTCCAGGTTGGGATATTTTTTGTTTGCTCACAAAACAACCAGCATAGATCAACACTGATACACATTCCTTATGTAACTGGTCATTTTCAGATACATCATATAAAATATTCAGCCATGCAATACTGAAACAAATTAATACAAAAATTGACAGTGCTCTTCATCCTCATAATTTCAGAAATTAAAAGACATACAATTGTAGTGAAGATCAGGATCACAAATCATATTCATGCATAACAAGCTCTGTTATAAATACACAAGTATTATCATAAATATCTTATTTTTTTGAGATGAGGATCTCACTACGTGGCCCAGGCTGGCCTTGAACAGCTGGAGTTACAGGAATGCATCACATTGTCTGGTTGTTCTGCTCTTATATCTACTTTCTGGTGTGTGTGCATGTATGTGTGTTCTGTATGTGGTACTGAGGGCCTTCACAATGAGCTACCTCCTTAGCCTAAAGACATGCTAAAAATCCAGAGCTGTCTAGGAAGAATCAAAATATGTATCTTTTTTTTTGAGACAGGGTCTCATTCTGTAGCCTAGGTTGACCTTAAGCTTGTCACATAGCCGAGGCAGGTCCTGAATTCATGCCAATTCTCTCCTGCCTCGGCCTTGTGAGTGCTGAGATTACAGGCGCGTGCCACCATGACTAGCAAAAGTGTATATCCTGGTTCCACTGGTGGAAACCAGGTAAAGAGTTCACAGTACCACTTTTTTTTTTTTTTTTTTTGGTTTTTCTCCGGTACTGGGAACCGAACTCACGACCTTGTGCTTGCCAGGCAGGCACTTTTGCCGCTGAGCTAAATCCCCAGCCCCCACGGTACCTCTTGGTACTATTTTTGCAAATTCTTGGAAATCTAAAATAATTCTTAAATAAAAAATTTTAAAAACACATTCATAGGATAAGAGTGATTTTTTCACTCAAAGAGGAATGTCAACTGTCCCCAGCTTCTAAAAAACCAGTGCTGAAGCTAGGGGTACATACCTGTGATCCTAGTATTTGGGAGGTTAAGGAAGGAGAATCTCAAATTTGAGACCAGCCTGGGGTACCTATGGAGGACAAGGCCAGCCTGGGTTACATGGCAGAAGCCTGCTTCTGAAAACAAAAGAAAGGGGCTGGGGATTTGGCTCAGCGGCACAGTGCCTGCCTGGCAAGCACGATGTCATGAGTTCGATTCCTGGTACTGGAAAAAAACCAAAAGAAAAAAACAAAAAAAAAAAAAAAAAAAAAAAAAAGAAAACAAAAGAACATCAGTGCTGTGCTGGGGGCATGGCTCAGTGACACAGCACTTGCCTAGCATTTGAGGCCCTGAGTTTGATCACTAGCACCATAAAAAACAAAAAACAAAAAACCAGTGTTGACCCTCAGCACCAAGATAAATAAGTAAATACATTCTTAAAGAAGACTAGTATTGGTTTAGGGGTGTAGCCCAATGGTAGAATGCCTACTTAGCATACATGAAGCCCTGGCTTAATCACTACTCCACAAAAATAAATGTCCAGGACCTGAAAGGGAAAACTTTGTGCTAGCACCAAAACCTGCAATATGAGTGCTTTTGTGGATGGCTATTGCACGAGAGAGGCTATTTCACTTTCCCTAGTGAAGGAAAGGCCTCTAGGGATCCCTTGTCAGACCACAGGAAGGCTTGGGTCCGCGTGGTAAAAAGGAGCACTAAGGGTCACCACAAATACTGGGCAGGACAAGGTAGAACTGCTCTAATCAGAAACTATTTTTGAGAGTGAAGAGTGTTTTGGGAAGAAAAATGTTTGTTGTACCAGGAGTGGATAAAATTTAGAAATGTTACAAGGAGAAAGTGACAGATTTTCTTTACTTAAACCAAGTATTTGTTGTAAAAAGTTGAATATGTATAATTACATACTACTTTTAAATAATTCATTGTAAAATTACAAAGTACTAAAATTTTTTACTTGGTGAAGCACTAGAGTCAGTTTCTTTTTAAACCCTAACATCAAAAGGCCTGCCCACTCTACCCTACAAGCTACAAGGCTGGGAGGTTAGCAATCAATACTAAAGGAAAATGTTTATATAAATAACACATCAAAAAAAAAAAAACAGCATCTCTGTGCACAGTATGCTAACAATCCAGGGAAATCAAGAGCAAAACACCAACAATAGTAAATGAACTGAGAAAAGCTGTAGGCTATTAAAAAAACAAAAAACAAAAAAAAAAACCAAAACAACAACAACAACAACAAAAACTGAATTCCCATTACTAGGGTCATTAATGTGGAAGTCCCAGTAAAGAGAAAGGTGATTCAAAAGTAACAAAATATTTGAAATGTGTTAAGCAAGTCAGCTCAGGATATTGAAGACTTAAGAAAAATATAGGGCTGGGGATTTAGCTCAGCGGCACAGTGCCTGCCTGGCAAGCGCGAGGTTGTGAGTTCGATTCCCGGTACCGGAAACAAACAAACAAAAAAATATATATATATAAATACTGAACAGAAGGGCTGGGTGTGGTGGTGCACGCCTGTAATCCCAGCACTTGGGAGGCTGAGGCTGAGGCAAGAGGATCACTGCGAGTCTGAGGCCAGCCTGGGCTACAAAGTTCACGATCAATCTGAACTGCATAATCATAAGACCCTGTCTCAAAAAGACAAACAAAAAACTGAACAGAGGATGAATAAAAGATGCAAATAACAGGAAAGGAACACCTAAACCCTCACTGACAGAACTAAATAACTATAACACACACCTATATAATCCTAGTACTGAAGGAGGCCCAGTCAGCAAGCTTGCAAGTTCAAGTCTTACCTGGGCAACTTAGCGAGACCCTGTCTCAAAGTAAGAAAGGGCTGTGGATATAGCTCAGTGGTAGACTGCCCTGGGTGCAATTCCTAGTACCATGCACAAAAAGTAAGACGAAACAAGACAACACATCAAGGAAAAAAAAAAGGCTTTAGTATATCACTGATTTAAAAATTCCTGTAGTTTCTGGAACTTGACAAATGAAGATCAGAATTCATCTACAAAAATAAGTAGGTAAGAATCCCAAATACATGTACCTTGATGTAACAGTAGGTTTAGTCTATCAGATTTAAAAATATATTGAACAGGAAAAAAGCCACTAGTTAATGACCATTAGAAATCTAGAAAACCATAGGGGAGCCATTTTCATTCCTTGCATACACAAGTCAAGGCATTAAACATGTAACAAATAGAAGAAAACAAAAAAATGATCCAAGTTGTGACAGGAAGAAAATTTATACCTACTCAGAGGATGTGCTGAATACATAAGGCTACAATGTTTAACAAAGTAGAAAATCATGGAAAATATATTAATATAATGTTTTCATATAAGGCTAGTTCCTATCTACTGTATTATATTTAATCAATACTCAAAAGAGAAAAGCTCATTTTTATGCAAATAAAGTACAAACAGTAAATCAAAACATGTAATAACTTCCAGGCTTACAAACAATGGGAGATTAAAACCCTAACTCTTAGGTATCTAACACTAATTTAAGTATCTACAGTATTAAATTGGCAAAAATAGAAGTGATTATGTTGGTGGGGCTATGGAGGAACAAGTACATTAAGAATTTGCTAACTATAGTATAAAATAATTGTTTTAGGAAAATTCATCAACTATGCAAAACACACACAGTATAACATGCACATTCTCTTCAATGCAATAATTCATTTCTGAACAAGCTATTCCAAACATACAACCCGCATATATATTTGGGGAAGGGGTACTGAGGCTCAAACCCAGGGCCTACTGCACGCAAGGCAAGTGTTGTATCACTGAGCGACTTCCTCAGTCCAAGAATACAGTTGTTGTGAAGTTTGTATTATCAATAATGGTGAGAAAAATGGAACAACCTAAATACCAAGGAGCAAGTCTCATGGGAGTCCAACAGGAACGGAATCACTTGGGAAAAAGACAACAGGAGCATTTGACATGGGAAGAGAGGACCATGAAGCAGGAGGAAGAAAATCAATGACTTACAAAATTGAGTTCATTACCTATCCATTTTTCAAATTTCAAAGAGAGAAAGGTGGTTTGTTTCAGATAAGTATCAGTGATGGGAATTTGCAAAGATACTACATCATCATCTTTTTTTTTTTTGCATCATCTTCTAGTAGTGATAATAACAGAAAACAAGTCAAAAAGAATCCCTACCAAATGGCCAGATCTTGAAATGATCAACACCTATCAAATGCTTACATCCAAGCTGGGTGTGGTGGTGCATGCCTGCAATCCTGGCACTCGGGAGGCTGAGGCAGGAGGATCATTGTGAGTTCAAGACCAGCCTGGGCTATAAAGTGAGCTTAAGGCCAGCCTGAACTGTGCAGGGAGATCCTGTCTATAAAAGACAAAAAAAAAAAAAAAAAAAAAGACAAAACAAAAAAAGAAAAGAGAAAAGAAAGATGCAAACACAATGCAAACATCCTTCTGCTTTGTAATCTAAAGAAATCTGTGGTCAGGATGATGACACTGGACCAACTTCCAGAGGCTGCTCCTCAACCCTAGAATCCCAGGAAGGAGAGCTCTCTTGCACCTACAGAGCAGGTGTCAGGGTTTCTTGGTGTCTTTAA